ACTGTTTATTTAAATTTCATTTTAAAGAAGCAAATTTATCTGATCTTAATTTGGAATTTGGTGGATATTGATTAGAAAACAGAGGATGGATTGGTTTTATAATGTCGACGTAAATTGCTAGCTTTATAATTTTCGACCGTCGAAAATAACACATAACGCTTTTTTTGTTATTGTCAATAAAAAAGAAATTCTCCTCCGATTCATTATTAAAACTTCTATTTTCTTGCTCGTAATTTCTTTTTTTATTTTCGTTCTCTGTCGTCATATTTTAAAAAGAACTGGAAAGAAATTTAGACGAGTGTATTAGAAAATGCAAGTTTTGTGTTATTGTTTATCGTTAACTTATGAAAAATTCCAGATTACAAATTATATCCGTAGCAAGAGTGATACAAACTGTTTTCTTCAGAGCACAATGTCAACTCTCCGTTGCAATGGAATTTTACAAATTCAAAATCGGTCTGGAGTCGGTCAATTACATAGATCGTGGATCGCCATTCGGAGCAATTGGCTGGACAAGGCCTTAGCTCTCATATGTTTCTTATACAAGGTGCGGCAGCGTTCTTAGTAGGATATTAAAAACACACCATAAGGCAGTAACTGTAATTTATTTATTACCTCTTATGCCAATTAATAATTAAAGGTATGCCATTTACTAATGTGCAAGTTATTGTCCATTGCGTAGATTACTTTTTGAAAATGATGCTCCCTCTGCACAACACATTCATCTAAGTGGTGTTAGAAGCTTGCCATAACATGGAGCAACGTATTCCCAGGGACATCGCCGACGGGATTGCCTAGGATATTTTCCTGAATGAGCGATCGGACATATGTAAAGTTTGCGAATGACCACGAACAGATCTTTTTTAGCTACGTAATATTGCAGCACGAAGATTTTTCCCGGCTTCTGGTGTCTGCACAGTTCTTCCTGGTTTGCCATTGCAAACAGAACCTGTTGTTCGAAATGCACTTATCCACCTCACAATGGTCCGTTTATCTGGAACTTTCCCATGATGTTCTAAGTTGAAATGTTACCGAAATAGATGCTGGGTAGCAATAACAGAGTAGTTATTCTTGAAATAACTTTCAACAGCAAAGACATGATGCTGTGCACGCCACCGATCCATATCACTGTCACACTCGAAATGGCAGTTCATTAGTACACGAATGCGGCACGAGCTGGTGCACATTCATGCAGTACATCATTGTACTACGCAAGTCAAATTACGCTATGAATGCTGCTGCACCCTGTAATTCACGAGGCAGTCGAAGGGGAAGAAAATCCGATGAACAGGAACTGTTACACCACTGTTTATGTTGGTCCGCGCAGTTTTCGATGAGTCATACCATTCTTAACTTGGACGGAAAAGAAATTTGTTACAACGTTGCACTTAGTCTTTCATATTTGTTGTCAGTAATTATTAATACATATTAAAACACATATGGAACGATAATTTTTGAAAATATAATAACACAAAAATGAAAAGGGAACTCGGGTACATTTATCGAGAGCCACAAATAATCCTTCAAAGAGCCGCAGGTTGGCCACCCACTGGCATATATTAAGAAGTTTGCCATGTGAATGGCGCAAACTAAAAAAAAATGTGCTATGCTAAATTTTTGAATTTCTCCATAAATTTTGCACTACATTTTACAAAATTGAATATTTAGGCATAATTCGAGTCGTAGAATTGCAATATGGGAAAAAATACCTATGTTAGAATAATGCTATATATAAATCTAATATATACATTAAGTCGCACTTCCGAGACACAGAAAATGCAATTTGAATTTCATCAATCGGCCCAGTAGAACGGGGTATATAGAACTGTTCCCTCCTTTTTTTTTCTTTTTGGCGCTGTGTACATGGGGAGGACAGTAAAAATAAAAATTTAAAGGTTTCACATTTTATATTATGCTCAAATGCGCATTTTTTTCATTTACAAACACATACATGTTTCAAGAGCATTTGGGCTAAAAATATTAAAAAAACAACGTAGCTCTAGAATTTCCAACACACAATCTTGCGTGCTGGAGATAACAATTTTTTACTCCCAACCATGCTCCACTGCTCATTTTGAAATTTTTGAGATTTTAAAATTAAAAATGCATTAAAGTTTCATCATACACGAACCAGACAATAAAATAAATTTGAAATTCAAAACTCAGGCTTCCATGTCAGATGGAGGACAAATTATTCAAAATTTGATGCCTCTATAGTTTTTCACAATGCAAGAAACATATAAACTCTCATGCAGATTCTTCATTATTTAGTTTCTTTAAACATAATGCAGGGCGATAATATTTGTTAGCAAAAATTAGAAAAGTGATACATTGCATTTAAGTGATTCAACGTAAAATGTCATTTCAATAGCCCTTCTGGGCTTAGAAAAGTGTTTTAATACAGATTTTTTTTTGTATTTTGATTGGTTGCTTACTGTTTAATGTAATTCTTAATAGGCCACCATGTTTAAAAATAACTGCTTGTCTTTTGCATTATAGATTGGCAAAAAAATTAGCCATCAGTAATTTGCAGCCTTTCAAGGAGGATAAACAAAATGTACCAAATTTTTATTTAAAAAAAACTTTAAATTTTATATATTTTATTAACTACTTTATTTTAAATGATTAAAAAAACTTTGATATTTTTTTTCCAATTTATTTAAAATGATTCCAAAATGAGGATCTGCTGGTAATTCTCCTGGCTGCTCGTTGACAAAGACCAAGAAATTATGTATTATTACACATCATTTAAAATTTAATTATTAATATATTTTTTATTAACCCCTTCACATACAAACAAAATATGTGTCCAAAGAATATCATTTAATTTGGACACTCATGTGCAATTTTCAAATTTACATTGCTATATAACAATAATAACATACTGCGCGGCACTCGCCGAAAACAGTTCCCAACGTCAAGTCTACAATGGCACTGCCACATGAAATCAATGACATCTCCCAGACGTCATTGTATGTCAAGGGGTTAATTTCCTTTTATTTCAGTTCTAATTTTCCTTCAAAATTTTTTAACTGGTACCTTCCTGTTATTTGAATATCGCAAAGCATATAGGGTATTTGCCTACATTGAATTACTTCTGTTTTACCTGTTTCGGGACTCGGTCTTCTAAAAAAAAAAAAAAAAAAAAAAAAAAAAATTATATTCCAGTTTTTTTGCTTGTTTATGAATTTTTTAACCTCAGCTGTATGTTTTCAAAAATGGCATTTAGTTTTACCTTTCCAGTTTTGAATTAAAAAATTACAACTTTTGGTTAATATTAATTCTAAATACAGTCAACCGTCTTTAATCCGGACTCGCAGGGACTTCGGCGATTCCAGATTATAGATCATTCGTATAAATCTGGTAAGATGGCATGCAGAAATTATAAAATTAAAAATATGAAACTGTAATTTATGAAATAAAGAGCAATTATGATCTAAAGGGTATCAAAATTTACAAAAGAAAAAGAGCTTAATATTTATTTGTTTACTTTATTAAACATTTCTTTCAACACGCACATGCATAAAGCATACATTACGCATAGTTGAAATTAGAAAATTGTAACTAGAAAACTATTTGATTTGTATTCGTGATATTTTATAATGACGAGAAATTTGATTTTAAATCATATCAAAGACGGAGTACATCGAGATGAAATACTGCATTATAAGCCGAAAATAAAAACATCTGCTCTGAAGATAAGGATAGTGCTGACAGATCAACTTCCAGTTCATTGCGCGCCGCGACGTCCCCCCCTCCGCGCAGAGCAGCGTGAAATTGATAAACAGATTTCGGAATGGTTAGAGAAACAAAGGAGCCTTTATCCATTTTTTGCAGCAATTCCACTTTTTGTTTGATGGACATCGAAACATGCTTTCCCTTTGCAGATCCAGCATCGGAAATTCTATTTGACATAATCGAAAGTTCCAACTTACTTTTATTAAATTGTTCTAACAGTCTGCAAAAAATGATAAGCCGGTTCCAATTCGAAGATTAAAGAACAACGCAATCTGCAACATTAACTGAAATAGATAATTTTAGGTGAGCTTATACCGTCCATTATACATTAAACGCGCATGCATAAACGTATTATGTGTTTACGCACGCGCAGAAAGTTTGTAGCTTTGTGGTCCGGATTATAGATCATTCCGGATTAAAGACTTTTGACTGTAATAGGTATTTTAACTGAATGAATGTAATTGATCACTATATTAACTGTAACCATAATTTGTCCCTCATATTGCCTTCCAGTAATTTTGCGAAGCAGAAAGTACTAGAAATATCTCAGCAGCTGCGTGAAAACTATATAAAATTGGAGAGAGCCTTTTTTAAAATTTTTTATTTCAGGATTTTGATACTTAGGTTGTGAGAAATGACAGAATTTGTGCAATTTTCCAATTTTTTTGTAGTAAAAATAGATCACTCTGTATATGAGAGTAACAGCAGTGTAACAAAAAAAAAAAAAAAAAAAAAAAAAAAAGTGTGTATTTCTTGTATGGAAAAAGAAAAATGTTAAAAAAATAGCCATTGTTGGATACACTGTTGAAATAGATGTTAAGGTATCCAAATAAAAGTTTACCTCCAAAGCTGCCAATAAGTCCAACTTTTTGGTGGGAGTGCAGATAATCAGAAAGTACCATAAATAATTTGATTAGTAGGATTTGACCAATTTAGTTTTCTTAAAAACCAATTTAACAACAAAATCGAAAAGTCTGAACACAGAAGAATTGCCTAACAGAAATAAGAAATAAATAATTAAAATGGAAAACTAAAATAAATCAAAATTTTGTGACATAAAATGCAAAGAGCTTCAAAAGCTATTTCTACTTAAAGGTGCAATAAAAATTTGTATAAGTAAAGATAAATTAAATATATATGTTCCAATAATAATAATAAAAAACTTTATTTCATGTATAAAATTAAATGTTTATATTCTAGGCTAATAACTGAAAGTACAAGTATATTCATATACTTCTAATGCAACAGGTTATTTTTCTTACCACTCAGATAATCAATCCAGCTTTGTAGTGTTTCTGGTGGGTCTGTCTCTTTAATATGCTTCAGAGCTTCGTCTAACAATACATCACCAGTAGGAGCATCATTTTTAATAAGCACTTTCCTCATTAACAAGCTACGACGACGCATTCCAGCTTTCTCAAGCTCTATTCTACCTCTCAGAGACAGTTCCACTAAAATGCAACCACGCAAGCCTGATGATATGGAGTCATTCCAAAATGAAGTATAGCCCTGAAAAAAGAAAACTTTAAAGTTGAAAAAGAAAACTTTGTATTACATTTTACTTAAATTCTTGACATCTATTCAATGCTCCAATTGTAAAACTACTTTTGATTTAGCTACTGTACAAATGCAGTACTGCTACAATATATATATATATATATATATATATATATATATATATATATATATTATACTACATTTAAAAAAATTGTAGTAACATATTTTTCAAAATGTAGCAAGATTATCAGCATATTTTGAAAACAAAGCAGTTTGGTGGAGTACATAAAAACTGCAAGCAGTTTAGAGGACCGTGATGAAAATTTTATATTTCCCCATCAGTATTACCTCACAGCACCAAAATATTTAGCAAGATTATTTGGTTGATTACCATTGTTATGCTAAGTAACATCAACATTTCTTTCCTTTTCATATCATGTAAAAATATAAAAAACATATTTTCATTATATTATGTATTTATATAAATGTACAACCTTTAAATCAAGATGTTATAAAATCTCGCATTTCTGCATAAGAAAAACTAAGTTTATAAAATAATAATGTGCATTAACCACATATTCTAGTTTACTCCTAATGTTTATGACCCAAAAACAATGTGCTAAAAATATACCAATTTATGACTAAATAGGATATGAGAAAGAACAGATACTTCAACATATGATTTTAAGAAAATATGAATTTTTTTAGGCAAAGTGGGGAAAGTACGATCATGATTTGACAAAGCAGTTTCAACAAATATGTTAACATTTTTATTGGCTTCCAAATTCTTCAGATATTAATATAAGGCCCGTTTACATGCAACGCTCTTTCGCACAGCCACCGTTTGTATTAGGGAGAAACGGGGATATGAAACAGTTTCGCATTCAGGACCGGTTCAGATGCACATCGTCTTTAGTCCCTTAACCCATAAGCCACTGCGAGCAATGAATGATGTCACAAATGCGACACGAACAAACAGATTTGCGGATTTCTAACGTCTCTTTTGACATCTACATCTCTATTTGACATTGTTTACTATTGCTATAGAACACCATCGGAGTTTAACTCTTTAATTTATTAAAATACGCCTAAATTAATTTAAAATGCAATTTATATATGAGGCCAAATGATTAAAAGAAGAAAAGAAACCACATATGCTGCAGAGCGGTTTTAAATAAAATGTTTTGTGGCTGCTAAAATTTCAAACTTTGCTTTTTGAAAAAAGGAATAAAACGACAAAGTAATAGTGTTAATATTAATTATAAATGTTTTAATATTGATTATAAACGTTTTAGAGAATATGTTATAATTAATTCATTTGTTAAAATTGTTCTGAACGTGTTTTATGAAGATTTTAAATAAAAGCTTGTAGTTTACGTTTATGTTAATCAATTGAATAGCACTGGGTTTTATTTTATACCTATGTAATGGAATTCAGTAAAAAAAATTTTAAGCAATTTGAAATGATTTAATGACCATATAGGCAGCTTATATTCTTTAAAATGGGTTTTCTCAGTTTGCATTTTTTTGATAAATTCTTTTATTTAAAGTCTTAAAACTTATATAGATATGGCCTAAATTATTTAATATTTTTACCACTTAATTTAAATTATATACTTTATAGAAACAAGAATGGGTTTTGCAAAATACTGAAAAGAAAAGTTATTTGAAGGGGAAATGTGATTGAAATCATATTTGTTTCAAAATTTTTGTATAAAAATGAGTTTTTATTTTTTCTCAGAAACTTATTCATTAGTTCCAAAACCTATTTTAAAAGTTATTAAGAACTTTCTAATAAATAGAATAAGAAAATTGGGGGACAATCATTGAAAATTATGAGAGAGGAATGACATTTTCATCGTTAAAATTTTCTTTCAAAAATTTAAATTAAAAAAATACTGGCAATTTTTTTTTTCTCTGCGTAAAATTATTTTGTCTTACAAAACCATTTAATTACATTCATAAAACTAGATGAAAGTTCTTAAACAACAACAACAAAAAAAACAAAACAAAAAAAAAAAAACATTCAAAATGTATGAAGTCCTCTAGTCGAGTTGAACCTGATACGCGTGTCTTTAGTTTTATTTGAACGGTATTTCTGGAATATCCAACATCAGATAGCATTGTCCGTACTTGTTTACAAATTTCCGTACTTTGTACGGTTCTATGTAACTTTTTTGGATGACATCGCGTCCTCAGATATTTACCAACGCGATTATTTTGCTGACAGTCCAGCGAGCAGTCATTAAGTGAAACCGAGCAATCACGCAGTGCAGTATGGGAAATCTCCCCATTTGCCCTGCTCCCGAGAGGTAGGAGTCTATTTCTAAGAAGTCATGATTTTATACAGTTTATTACTTTTATTAATGAACACTCGCTAGTTACACAACTAAACCTCACAAATAAATCCAATGCACAGAAACTTAAATAATTGTTAAAAAATTGCAATATTCACTGTGAAGTGCAAGTCAGTCAGCCATTTGTATTTATATGAGGCTAAGATTTAAGCTCTGAGTGGATTTAAAGAATTATCAAAAGACTGAAAATGCGCAAGAAGCATCATGAATGCCCAGTTCAAAGGGATAGACAAGTATCATCTAGAAGAGAAATGAAATTCAATAGGCAAATTTCTTCATACAGAATGTAAATTTTAAATTTCTTATTTTGATTTTATCTTTTGTTTCTTAATCTTTAATTTCATTCATTTTTTATTTCCCTGAAATGGCTAAGGAGCCCCAGCAAATTGAACAAGAAGCTCTTTGAGCTGTATTGAGCACAGATTAGAAACCACTGCTCTAACCAGCTCCTCCTTCTCTGATATGAAACTGTAAAATAGCCATTAACTTTAAGTGCAAATACTAAGCTACCCTCATTATAAAAATGTTAGAGTTTGAAAGATTTATAACCGCGAAATATAAAATTTCTCTCAATTTACAAAAGCAGTTTATAATTTTTTCTGTTTCTTGGGCCATGATTATTTTCAGCACTATGTTATAAGGTTGAACTTCAATCTGTCTAATATACAAGGGAAGATGAATTTCATTTCTGGTTTTTACTACACAATCAGAATGTTGAATATACATGGTAATAAAATATAATACACAACTAACATTTATTGGTGCCTACAACTTGTAAGACAAACTTAAATCTTAAAAAAGCAAATTTCCTACCACTTTTCACAGGAATAACAAATGGTCATGCAAGGCCAAACTAATTACGGAATACACAAGTATAATAACAAGCATAACAGACAAGCATAATACGCCAAATAAGAAGCTCACTGGATCATAATTCATCTGCCAGTGTCCGCAATTACACAACAGATTAAGGAAATAGCTAATGCCAATTACTTCTCCTTTGACGTTGATTTTTTACTCTATTTAAAACTCCCACTCATTTATATATTCTAGTGGAAACAGAGTAACAGGAATATAGAACAGATTTCAACATAAGCAAAAAAAAAAAAAAAAAAAAAAAAAAAAAAAACCTGTTAAATAACAGAAACCTTATACAGTCAAAAGTCGTTAATCCGGAATGATCTATAATTCGTACCTCAAAGCTACAAACTCTCTGCGAACGTGTCAACGCATTATGCACTGACGCATGCGCGCAATACCTTTACGCTTGCGCATATGCGTGTACACATTCGCATAAGACGTTTACGCATGTGCATTTAATGTATAACAGATGGTATAAGCTAAGGTAAAATTATCTAATTATCTATTTCAGTTAATATTGCAGATTGCATTGTTCCATAATCTTAGAATTGGATACAGCTTACTATTTTTTGCAGACTGTTAGAGCAATTTTATAAAAGTAAGCTTGAATTTTCGATTATGTCAAAAAGAATTTCTGATTCTGGAGCTGCCAAAGGATCTAGAAGCGAAAGCATGTTTCGATGTCCATCAAACAAAAAGTGGAATTGCTGCAAAAAATGGATAAAGGCATATCCTTTGTTTCCCTAACCATTTCAAAATCTGTTTATCAATTTCACGCTGCTCTGCGAGGGGGGGACGTCGCGGCGCGCAATGAACTGGACGTTGATCTGTCAGCACTATTCTTATCTTCAGGGCAGAGGTTTTTATTTTATTCGGCTTATAATTCCTTACTAAATGTAGTATTTCATCTTGATGTACTCCGTCTTTGATATCATTTAATCTATAACGGACGGTATAAGCTAAACTAAAATTATCTAATTATCTATTTTAGTTAATGTTACAGATTGCATTGTTCCTTAATCTTAGAATTGGATACAGCTTACTATTTTTTGCAGACTGTTAGAGCAATTTTATAAAAGTAAGCTTGAATTTTCGATTATGTCAAAAAGAATTTCTGATTCTGGAGCTGCCAAAGGATCTAGAAGCGAAAGCATGTTTCGATGTCCATCAAACAAAAAGTGGAATTGCTGCAAAAAATGGATAAAGGCATATCCTTTGTTTCCCTAACCATTTCAAAATCTGTTTATCAATTTCATGCTGCTCGGGGAGGGGGGGAGTCGCGGCGCGCAATTAACTGGAAGTTGATCTGTCAGCACTCCTTATCTTCAGCGCAGATATTTTTATTTTATTCGGCTTATAGTTCCTTACTAAATGTAGTATTTCATCTCGATGTACTCCGTCTTCGATATGACTTAAATCAAATTCCTTGTCATTATAAATATCACGAATACACATCAAATAGTCTTCTGGTTGCAATTTTCTAATTTCGACTATGTGTAATGTATGCTTTATGCATGTGCGTGTTGAAAGAAATGTTTAATAAAGTAAAGAAATAAATATTAAGCTTTTTTTTTTTGTAAATTTTGATGCCCTTTAGAACATAATTACTCTTTATTTCATAAATTACGGTTTCATATTTTTAATTTTATAATTTCTGCATGCCATCTTAACAGATTTAAACTGATGAGCTATAATCCGGAATCGCTGAAGTCCCTGACGAGTCCGGATTAAAGACTTTTGACTGTAACATGAATAAAATTAGAACAGTACCTTTTGTTACATGCTAACTTTGCT